ATATATATTTTATATCACCAATACTTGGATTGATGTTCAAATTATTTTATTTTTCATTTAGCAATTCCATAGAAACTCAAGTAATACGTAGTGAACAATAGCATTTTCACAAAACAGGAACTTGATCAAATAATTGAAGAGGAGTCATTATTTATCAGACCGCACTCTAATCGAGTGACATTATCTATCTTAAACCTACCTATGGATTAGACTTGTTTGTGTTTAATTTGATTTTTGAAAAATCAAACCAAATCTGAAAGTATATTTTATTGATGTTTCATAATGGTTTTGTATTGTGTGTCTTTGTTGTATGCATTTTTTAGGTTCGTTTTTCAGTATTTATTGAAGATCTCATTTGTAAATTTTTATCGTCTGGAGGTTTGGGTTGGCCTTTTGGAAATGTCAAAGGTCAGTGTCCACATCCGCAAGTACATTGTCAACAAGCTTCTTGACCGCAAGCAGTTTGTTATTGATATGCAGCATCTTGGTGCTAAAGCTCCAACACGCGACGAGATCAAGGATGAAGTTGCATCCCGCCTTAAGGCCAACAAAGACCTTGTTGTCATTTTTGGTCTTGAGACAAAGTTTGGTGGTGGCCACACAACCGGCTTTGGCTTTGTTTACGATAGCCTTGATGCCCTTAAGAAGACTGAACCAAAGCACCGCCTGATCAAGGCCGGTCTTGCCGAGAAGGGCAAAGTTACTCGTCGTATGCGTAAGAACGCTCGCCGCCAAAAAGTTAAGGTCTGGGGCTCCGGCAAGCGTGCCGAAGCACACAAGATCCGCCGCCAGCAGCGCAAGGAGGAACTTGGCTCACATTAAATTTGATAAATATAGATTACAATGTCAATACACTCATCCTTTCTTGAGTAAAAGGCCATATTTTAACTACTTCCTTATAAATCAAACAAACAAACGAACGAACTATTACACGAAATCTTTTCTATGAAATCTTACAAACTACTCTCTTTTTTCTTACTACAAACTTCACCTATATCTATATTACTTCTCAATAATATTTTTTTTCATAATTTTTATCTATTTTGAAAGTTTTTCCAAATGTATTTAATATGGCAATTTATGCCCTGCAATTAACAATAGTTATTGTTACTCTAATATGAATTATGATAATTTATTAGAGATTAGAATAAACATTATAAAATCATAGATCATATTTCGAATAGAAAAATGTTTAGTATTATAAATGTCTAGTTCTTAGTAATTACTACGTAAGCAACTAGAATGGTTATATCAAAGTTTTTACAATTTTGCTATCTTTGAAACTGTTAAATCCAATATATCGATGATTGAATATGTTATAAGTGAATCGCATTCGTTTGAGAATATTTAGAATTTTGTACCATAACTTCGAACAGCTTTTGCTGCATTAAGTAAAAATTCCGTTTTTTGAAGTGCAAATTTTGGTTTGAAAAAGTTTATGACTGATAATTTTGTTGAAAAGTTGCATTCTCCTTTTAATATTTTCATTGAATTCGTAATAAATTCTTGATCAGTTGCTGTTTGCATAGCATATCCCTTTTCTGCTATCTTAGAAACTAAGTTTTGATTAAATTCGAGAATTAGAAAATGCATTATTGGCAAATATATAGACGGATCACCATTTTGAAGGAGTTCTTGATTCCATCTACCAGAATATTTCATATTTCTGAGTTCTGTTTTTAAAGCTCGGATTTGAGAATCAACTTTGGGATCAATCATTAATTCTAAACGTACACCTGTGTTTGGAGAGGATCTTTTAAGTTTATTAGAACATGCTCTTTGGATAATGAATTTACATCAAATTTACACACAAATTTTCTAGTTCATTAGACTTTGTTTTGATTCTTTTCAGTCCGACCAAATAACTAATATCGTCGAAATACAAGCTTGCCAAATACATAGACACAAAGCTACTCATAGACAGGTTTATCTTGTTGGCGCAAAAAATTTGACTTATTGTTCATAATTATAATTTCCAAAATTATTTACGCCAAATTGGGCTTTAATAGCTCAAATCATATAATGTTGTTCAATTGTAAGATTGAAGAAAAAGATTTTAGAAAAAAAAGTTATGGTGTTTTTAAAAATTTGAAGATTAGTAATAATATTTATCAGGTTTTTGTAAGTGTATTTTTAGAATAATTTATCTAAGACGGCGGGCTTCACGCTCTGTTTCGAGAAGTGAAAGGATGTCGCCCTCGCGAACTGCACCCTTAACGTTGCGAACAAGGGAGCGGTTGGAGTCATCAAGGAATTCGACACGAACTTGTGTAACACCACCACGTGAGCCTGTGCGGCCGATGACCTGCTTGACAACAGCTAACTTAACCTGCTCCTGGGTTGATTCCATTAGAAAAGGCCATGCTTGTCAAAACCGCAAATTTTCGACCACAATTTTTCCTAAAAATTACATCGAAGAAAGACACACTGATAACCAAATATCTTTATTTTACCTTATTAAAATTAATTTGAAAAGCTTTATCACATGATTTTTTAATCTATCATTTTTCTCTTTTAATAAAGGATCACTATTCAAACATCCCGATTTGATACGCGTAGCATTAGTGCTATCATGTTATTCTTTTATAAATTATATAACATTTCATTTTCCTTTCAATAGTCATTACAAAGCCAGAGTTTAGCATGTAATTAGAGCTTGATAAATTTATAAGAATAATGGCTACATCAGGAGCTTTAAATCTCCTAATTAATAGTTGATATAACACAAAGGATGCGTCCTACTGACATTAGCACTATACAGGCCAGATTGGAGTGTTTGAATATTCCTTCTGTCATTCAAAAGTAGGAATGGGTTGAAGAATAAAAAATATCAAATTTAAAATTTGTTCAAATTAATTTTAATAAGGTAAAATATATATGGCACGGCGGGCGCAAAAAGTGACAAAATAGAATACCTATGGTGGCAAGACAAAGGAAACATTTTTGTAAGGCAAACATTATATCAAATACCTTTACTTTGTAATAAGAAATATAATTATCACGAAATTACAAATAAATATTGTTTAATATAATTAATAGCAAAATTCTTTTTTATTATTTCCCTTAAGACCTTACTTATTAAGTATACGTATAACAAGCTTGTACTGCATGTATTAGTTAATAGAACAAAAGAAAATGAGCTCAAATGAAAAAAATTTTCATGCTATTTTGGAAATATGCATATTCGAAGTATGAGAGTTGTAAACACTGAGAATTTTAAGCTTTGGTTGATGATAGTCTTTAATTTTTCTTGAAGTAGTAAATTATTTGATATCAAAATTTAATGGCCAGCATAATCAATCGTGCGTTTCGTTTCTTGATTGAGAAACGATGATTGTGTGCTAATGAATTATTGCGTCTGACAGGTTATGATTATGGATACCTGAAATTAAGCTTTTATGGGAAACATCACCGAGCGCCATTTGGCGCCCCTAATGCTGTTTCTATCGGTATGATTAAGGAGCTTTCTTATGCACTTTCATCACTTGAACTTGAACGCTACAAGATATATGAAATGTTTACATTGATTTTTGAATACTTTACTAGCGCCCCTCCCAGTGGGCGCGGGCGCAAGTGATCGGGTCAAAAAAAATCATAAAAATATTCAAAATTGCGATTTTAATAGATGTTTAAGGAGTAAATTTATTAATAACGATATTTCATAGTACAAAATGTGTTCAATCTCTTCGTAAATCATTCAAAAAAATCAAAAGAATTTCCAAAATTCAATTTTTTTTAGTAAAATTTATATCTTTTTCTATCGTCTCCTCCCCAACAGTGGGAGCCACCGGAGGCGCGGGCGGCGCCGCTGGCGCCAAAAAAGTAGCGCCCATCGTGCCATGTATAAGGTAAAATAAAGATATTTGGTTATCAGTGTGTCTTTCTTCGATGTAATTTTTAGGAAAAATTGTGGTCGAAAATTTGCGGTTTTGACAAGCATGGCCTTTTCTAATGGAATCAACCCAGGAGCAGGTTAAGTTAGCTGTTGTCAAGCAGGTCATCGGCCGCACAGGCTCACGTGGTGGTGTTACACAAGTTCGTGTCGAATTCCTTGATGACTCCAACCGCTCCCTTGTTCGCAACGTTAAGGGTGCAGTTCGCGAGGGCGACATCCTTTCACTTCTCGAAACAGAGCGTGAAGCCCGCCGTCTTAGATAAATTATTCTAAAAATACACTTACAAAAACCTGATAAATATTATTACTAATCTTCAAATTTTTAAAAACACCCAATTTCAAAATCATATAAATAATTCCACTCATAACTACTATACGCATGATGACAATCACCAATAATTCTTTTTTTTTTGTCATCATCTTCATATTCTTTTTCTTCTATATTATTTTCTTCTCTTGAATATTTATTTTTATTATAGCAATATTGAGTTTCGTGTAATTTCTGAGCAAATTTATATTTTGTGATTATATATTAACATCTGCTTTCTATTCTTTTAAAAAATATAATACACTCTCATTTTTCTGACTTAATACGTTTAGAAAAATATCTCAACAACTGATATTTTAAAAAAATATTACGGATTCAAAAAATGCGCACGGGTTCAGATGCCGATCTAATGATAGATTTTATAATGTACACAAAAACAATAAAATCTTTTTGATCCGTTTTGGTTGTCTGCTACTTTATTTTTGACACAATGGCAAAAATATTTCAATGTTAAAAACCTCCAGTTCCCACAAATGAGTACGATAGAATTTACAAATTCCCTCAAAACCCAATTTGGACCCTCCCAATTTGGAAACGTTATAATATAAACCTGTAATTCCAGAAGCTATTAAGGAGTAGGGGACGTCTATTTATTGCATTTAATATACTCATTTACATAGCATATAAGAAAATATTCTCTAGCAATATGAACTCATATGAGCAATAATGCAAATATTGAGATACATCTCAGAAAATGGAAATTATCACCCAGATTTTTATATTAATATAATAAATTATATATTAAATGTTGGATTTTTTATTCCTAAAAAATTTGTTATGACAATGGATCAAGATATTGCACAGGAATTAACAGGTGCTGATTTAATTAGAATATATGCTGATTATATTGATGCAATGAGAAGTATATATAAACTCACAAATGACAAGATTGAAAGCACTTTTATCAAAGTTAAAGAAATTTTAATTAATAAATATCATTTAAAAACATCGATGATTTTAAACACATTGTTTAGATGTACTTATTTAAGGGACCGTTACATGAAGGCATATGTAAAACTTTATGACTTGATTAATAGTCTTAAAAATAAAAAAACTCACTCTGTAGATAAAATCAAAGATGTTATCTCTGCATTCGAAAATAACAAGCAAAAAACAGACAGTTCTCATAGAGACTACTACGAACTTTTGAAACCAAAATCATTATTTAATTCAATCATGAATGATGATCTTGAAACAATGATATATATAGTCAATCAGCCAGGTTTTGACATCAATATCAAAATGAACAAAGATTTATTTAACAGTGATATGCAATACAATCTTTTGGAAGTTTGCTCTTATTATGGTTCAGAAAAATGTTATTTATATTTAATACAGAACCATAATTTTGAACCTTCTGATTATTCGATTGCATTATCATTCTTAGGTGGAAATCCACAGATTATACATGAATCATTACCTTTAATAGATTCTTCAAATATTCGTGAATGTGTTGAATATGCAATTGTATCACACAACATCGATTTCTTCAACTATTTAAATAACAACTTTCCTCCATCAAAATATTTGTTATATTGTCAATAATGTCGTAAAATATCATAATCTTGAAGCATTTTTGATAGCAATTGATTCGGGACAAATATCTTCTTTTAATAATCATCAAATCAGATTCAATAATGATGATTTACTTGTATATATATTTAAAAAATTCAAGCAAAGTGCAGTCAAAAAATTTGATATTTTACATGCAATTTATAATTATAAAATTCCAAAAACTATTATATGCGCCATCGAAAGTGGAGCCAATATCACAATAACGGATTCTTTTAATGAAGGAGCTCTTCATTTGGCTGCAGCACATAAAATGAAAGAAATAGCCGAGCTTTTGATTTCGCATGGTTTAGACATCAATGCAAAAGGTAAACATGGAAAAACTCCACTTCATTATGCAGCAGGAAAAAGTCTAGATATGGTAGAATTCCTTATTTCACATGGTGCGGATATTAATGCAACAACACGCCAAAAGGAAACTGTTCTTTCATTTGCACAATTTTATCATAAAAATGATATAGTAAAAATCCTTATTTCACACGGTGCAAAGGAAAAATAAGTGGAACAAAAAGGAGAAGATGATGTATTGTGAAGAAAATTAAAAGAGTACGAGAAGAAGAAAATTACACTTTAAACGGACGGCTGTATCATATTTATCATCATCTACTTCATCATATTCATAATTAGAAATTTTTGAATAAAAAAATATCGATATTTCAATTATAAAATTTAAGCATCCTTAAGGGTACGCATACATCAATTTGGCATGTTCTCATAAAATCAATATATCTTTACTGCAATTGCAAAAAAGTAAATGATCTATATTGATTTATAAAATCTTATTCACCACAAAAAACATCAACTTTATCCAATACAAGGGCTGTCGGATGTAAAAAGTGACTCTTGTTCACTGGGTTCAAACCGCACAAGAAATCCGAGAGACAATTCGAAATAAAATATAACTTTTTATCATAGTCCTGTCCATGCAGGGGTGCCATATGGTTCGGGCAGCGTTCATATATACCATTTAAATTAAGCGCTCATCGATTCCTGCAAACTTTATACAATAGAAAACTGGGATAATATGCTTGGTATTCAAAAAATTGAGAGAATAACATTTATTTATTCAATTTTTTTTTAAAAGAAAAAATTGTTATTTTTAATGCAAAATAATGAATTTATAACTTGGATAAGAGCATAGCCTCTAACTTCTCAGTGTCAGCTGCGAAGTTACAAATGCCTTGAGCGAGTTTCTCAACAGCCATTGCATCCATGTTATGTTCCCAAAGGAATTCAGCCTCTGTCATTGGTTCTGGACGTGGAAGGATCTCACCCTTGTACTCGAGCTTGCGTGGAAGTTCTGCATTTGACTCCTGGAGTTCCTTAAGAAGGGCTGGAGAGATTGTAAGGCGGTCGCAGCCAGCGAGTTCTGTGATTTCGCCTGTGTTACGGAATGATGCACCCATAACAACTGTCTTGTAGCCGTATTGCTTGTAGTAATTGTAAATCTTTGTGACAGACTTGACACCTGGGTCTTCTGCGTGTGTGGCTGGGACTTGGCCGGCAGCCTTGTACCAATCTAAGATACGGCCAACGAATGGGGAGATGAGATAAGCACCTGCTTCAGCGCATGCACGTGCTTGAGCCTGGGAGAAGAGCAATGTGAGGTTGCAGTTGATTCCTTCCTTCTCAAGGACTTCAGCAGCGCGGATTCCTTGCCATGTTGATGCAATCTTGATGAGAATGCGATCATTCTTGATTCCGGCTTCGTGATAAAGACCGATGATCTTGCGTGCGCGCTCGATTGTCTTCTGTGTATCGTAAGAAAGGCGAGCATCAACTTCTGTAGAGATTCTGCCTGGGACAATCTTGAGGATTTCGAGACCGATGTTGACAGCGAGCTTGTCTTCAGCATCGATAAGCTGTTGCTTCTTGTCGTCACTCTTTGACTTAGCGTATTGGATAGCGTTTTCAATGAGGGATTCGTACTGTGGAAGCTTGGAAGCGTTCAAAACGAGAGATGGGTTTGTTGTAGCATCCTGTGGTTGGTATTTCTTGATAGCTTCGATATCGCCTGTGTCGGCAACGACAACGGTCATGGAACGAAGGGCATCTAACTGCGACATTCTTTAAAGTGAACTCAAATTGATCGTTTTCATCGACACTTTTTCCAAAAATTTCATAACATCCAAAATCACGATTATTTGTTAATGAAGTTAAAATGGATAAAAATAATGATGTGTAAAAGTTTTCTTTCAAATTTGAAATATCCATTCAAAAATGAATCTTAATCGATATCAGGAAGATTGCATTTTACAAATAATCTGCGTTGTTTCTATACTGCCTATCCTATATACGTTAACATGAATATATAGATCGGCTGAACGGAGATAATCAGATGTTGACTGTTCCAAGCTTGAATTATGTTGACTATTAAAATACATGTCGCTTATATGGTCTAGAGATATGTGGAGCAAGCGAATTCAAACAGAATCTTGGTTGAAACAACCTGACCCAATTTGATACAATACTCAAATTTTGATGATCGGTGTATACACATTTAATCTATATTGTAATATTGTATAATTGGTGATGCGATCATTAAGGATGAATCATGCTTAGGAAACATATTTGATGAACATAGATTCGATTAAACCTAAGTTGTACATGACAACAGTACAATATTTTTATTTTATATTGAATATTGTTAAAAATAATAATACAAGAATTGTTAGTTGAGATGCATAAACACATACTTTAAATCATATAACTAAAACATCATTATTTCAAAAGATTGCGTTTATTCCTCATTCATTGTGTCCATTAAGCTTATTTAAAATTCAAGTGTTGAAGCTTCAATTTTGAACAGTTCAGAAATTTTATTTGACCAAATTTCACAAAAAAATCTCACATTAGGTAATTTACTGTTTTTACAATTTATTACTTTATCAAATCTCACATTCTAAGGGTTTCGTTTTGCGAAAAAAACGTACAATACGCAATTTCGCTAAAAAAACATTTAGCTAGCAATTTCGACCTTTGACTCCACTCAAGACGTCACTTTTTTAATTTTGCGGTATCATATTTTTGGAAAATCTTTATGAATATTATATAAAAAGTCTCTTTAATATCTATATTTCATATTTTTATCGATTTTTAAAGTTTTTGCGAAAAGTATTCAATTATTTTTGCTATTTGGTCGGGTAAATGTCAGATTTGCGACATTTTCTGATATGATATTCAGATTCTACGTTGATAATAATGCTTATAGAACCCTCTTGCTATTGTGTCAAAATTGCGAAACCGATAGCAAAAATATCTCGCAATATCAAAATTGAGATATTGAGTGAATTATGCATTATAGAGATTAAAAATCTGATTTGTGAAAACATCTCATCAGTTTCTAGCTAATTCAAAAATCTTTACTATCTTATTCGATTAAAATGAAAAGGGAATAGTTTCATTATGCTTTAAATGACAGCCTATAATATAATCATAGTTTTCGCTCAATATGCAGCATTTTTTTTTCGAAATCTATGGTCAATATCCTAAATACTGATTGCTTTGCATTCATATCTCTTACATTTTCTATACCCACATCACTATTCATTGCTATTCCTATCTTTTTCATTTTTGTTTGTTTCTCATAATTTCTCAAAAAACATGATAACTTGATATTTGTAAATATCATACTTTATAACGTAAATAAGAACTTGACCTATTAAGAAAAGCAGTAATGAAAAGAAAATCTGAAATTCATAAAAATTACAAGTTTCTGATGACAATTAGCTTAATTAAACCAGGTACAAGATTATATAATTGTATTTTCTATCCAATTATCCATATAATATCTTATCCAGAAAAAAAAACTTGATCAATACCAAATGATTTTTTAACTAGTAAATAAAGTATTTTCTTTACACACACATTGTATATCATAGTTTTTTTTTTGGTTTCGCAAAACATCCAAAAACAAATATGCTATAAAAGTGACACGCCTGTAAAAAATGACACACCCGTGAAGGGTGTGATTACCGATCGGTAATTTCGACAGTTTAGAATTTAAAATTTTTTATGGAACTGTTGCGAGTTTCATAAAGAATTTAAGGAATATAAGCAAAGATTTGAATCAAAATCTTAGACCTAAGCCGCTCGATTCGCTCGCGGCTTCCGCGAATTACAGATCAGCAAAGATTTGAATCAAAATCTTCGAACTAAGCCGATCGCTTCGCTCGCGGCTTTCTTTATTATTTTAAATTTGCATATTTCCATCAAAAGTTCATAAGGTAAAAAATTTCGTTTATTTTTACTAAGAAAAAAAAGGTTTTTGATAATAAATTTATTTTATTTCGAAAAAGTAGCAATAATCGTAAAAGGGTATTGATAGGCTTGCTAAAGTAACTAATTTTAGCTGTCAAATACTTTTGTATTTTGAAGTAAATTAGTATAAATTTGTTTTTACTTTTATTTCGAAAAAGTAGCAATAATCGTAAAAGGGTATTGATAGGCTTGCTAAAGTAACTAATTTTAGCTGTCAAATACTTTTGTATTTTGAAGTAAATTAGTATAAATTTGTTTTTACTTTTATTTCGAAAAAGTAACAATAATCGTAAAAGGGTATTGATAGGCTTGCTAAAGTAACTAATTTTAGCTGTCAAATACTTTTGTATTTTGAAGTAAATTAGTATAAATTTGATATTATTTTAACTCCCTTTGAAAACCTCAATTTTCCATACAGAGGGAACGGGAATAGCATCCAATATTCCCTGAGAATGGTTGCGCATTCTCAGTTCCCTCTATATTTCGAACGAAGCTCTCATCGGTCTTTTTTTTTAATACTAAACGTTTTTTTTCCCTGTCACTTTTAGCTAAAATTTGGGTTTGCCGTTGGAAATGGGTGATACATAGCTTAACTCATAAATCATTCAGGCAAAGGTTCTCTTAATTTTAAGAGAAACAGTATTCTTCCAAGTGTTGAACATCAATCATTTCCCAGAGAGTTCCAATCCCTTTTATAAAGTTCTTAAATCTAGACTAAGATCTAAGTATATCCCAATAAAATCGAGTTTAGCAGATAATATAATTATTAAAAATGTAAAATGTTTATTTATTCTCTCCTATATGGATAGCATACTTTATTGTAGGCACTCTTATTTAAACAGACAAAATGAAGTGACCTACCCATTTTTTCAGAGAAAATTGTATATGATTTATCAGAGGCATATGTTCAGCGCAATAATACTATTTTATATTTGACTGTTCATCAAAGATTGAAACATTGCGATGTTATTTTGATACACATTTACAATGGAATAATTTTAAAAGTACTGATGCACAGAATACTTCGTACTTCAAGAATCAGACCATTATAGCGAGTTAAAAGGCCTTTGATGTTGGTAATTCTATATATTCCGCATGAGAAATATCATTTTTCTCACAGTAAAAAAATATAATAATTGTCACTTTTCTCGAATAACGAGAAATGGATCAACTTCAATTATTCAAGGTTCAAAAAGAGAAAGAAGATATTTTAATGCTCAGAGAGTCATTCAAACAGTTAGGGAAACTAGAAGAAGAATGCACTCAAGAATTATCTAATTTTCAAAGAGAGAATTTCATAGCACATGAAGAGTTTCGAGCTATTGCTGCTTCTATTTTTGACTCAATAGAATCATTTAGTAACTCCATTAATCAGGAATTAGACAAATTACAGTTAAAAATCAATCAACTTGAAACAATCGCAATGCATGCATTTAACATTCATTCTAAACAAGTTATTTGCACTCCAGGAGCAAGCCATATTGCTTGTTCTGCAAAATACATTTATATCGCTCAAATTGATGGTGTTATTTCAGCTTATGATCAAACAAATTACAGTCTTGTACATCAAACAGACCATAGATATTACGATTCCTATAGCCAATTCGGAAAAATTACTTGTTTTGTATATACGCAACAATTACTTGTTGGCTTCTTTAATGGCATGGTATTAATGGTTTCAGATGACCTCAAAACATTTAAACAGCTCAATTACATTACTCATTCTATTTCAGCTATTCACCAATTCCAAGAAGTGGTTATTGTTGGGGCCACGAACGGTTTAGTCGTTTTATGGAATGCAAATACGCTAGAAAGACTAATGATATACGCAGGACATAGACTTGCAATTGCTTCTATCATTGATGACGGGACTGATATTTATATTGCCGGGAGAACAGGAATTGTTACTAAACACAATAAACTATGTCAAAAAGAACTCGAAAAGCTACAAATAGGAAAGTTTTTATTACAATTACTTTCAATTAAAGGAACAACATTTGCATCTATCACAGATTCTTTACTTGTATGGGATGGAAAGCATATAATTAAGACATTTAATGCTATTGATATCGGAACAAATCCAATTGCTTGCATGAAACCACCTGAATTATTATTACTTGGAAATCGTCAATCAACTGAACTCAAACTTATATTCTTAGAGTCCCTTTTGTTCCCTAAAACTGTAACAGTACTCGATAAGCCACCAATTGGAATGATTCACTTCGGATCTGTTTTTTATGTTCTTACAAAGGGAGGACATGTTTACGTGATTCAGCCAGGCCAATAAATAAATCTGTTTTTATATTTAACTCTAAATTCTAGTAATATAAGGTGAGTACTTTCCGAGACTCATTTTGACACATTTTTTCCCCTTTCAAAGTTTTTGACATTTTTGGTCAAAAAGTATTCAATTTTCCTATCATACGACTTTTTGTTTGTCAAATTAACACTTTTGTATACTTTTTTTACGGCCGCTTTAGCGCCCAAAAAGTATATAAAATTGGAATTATCTTGATTATGATTATTTTTGCTTCTAATGCCGAACAGCATTTGAATCAAAAATAATCATAGTATAGATAATTTAAATTTGTTTTTTATTTAACTCTAAATTCTTGTAAAACATAATGGATAACTTATATTCAATTTTCCTCTCAAACGACTTTTTTGTCAGTTACTTCTTGAATTTGTTTTTTATTTAACTCTAAATTCTAGTAAAACATATTGGATAACTCCTACTCAATTTTCTTCTCAAACATTCATTGATAATCAATAATACATCTGATTAGAAAAAATAAATTGAAAAATAATTGCACCGCCCGGGAATCGAACCCGGACCCCCACCTTGGCAAGGTGAAATTCTACCATTAGACCAGCGGTGCTATACATTAAAAGTGTTTGATTATGACTTTAGAAATGAATTTCCACAAAAAAGTTGATGTGTGATACAGAAATCCATTTCGTTTGAAATTCAAACAGCTAATGAATTTACACATCATTTAAACTATCAGATATACGATTTTAACCAACATTTGAATAAAACAATCAGAACTAATTGAATGAGAGCAAATTCTGTTCTCTTTACTCCTCTTCAATGCGGTCCAATGCTTTTGAAAAACCGCTTCATGAGATCTCCAACATGGGAGGGCCTTTGTGATGATAATGGTTTTCCAACAAAGAAGCTCCTTGATATGATGGTAAATCTTGCAAAAGGAGGAACAGGTTTGATCATTCCTGGATACATGTATCCAATTGCTCATGGCAAGGCAGCACCTCGTCAAGCAGGTATATTATCAAAACAACATGCCGAAGCTTGGAAATCAACAATCGAGAAAATTCATAGTTACGGAGCGAAAATCGTCTTCCAAATCGGTCATGGTGGAATTAGATGCAATCCAACTTTAATTGGCCGCGAACCAATTGGTTGCTCACCACTTTTACCAAATTTAGTCGGGAGGTGAACGTCTGATGTTTTTTAGCTTGAATGCAGAGATGCTGATCACATATTATGGTGCATTGCAAGGGTGGATAGTCCGACGAAGCCCACATAAAACTTTCTGTTCAAAAACTGAGCGACAAAGAGGGACAAGAAGAAGAGTAGAAGCAGAATGGTATTTCAAATACGAGACCAAGCACTTATTGCTAAAGTTTCGTGAATTTCCATTGAAAAACAAACCGAGTTCAAAGAACCCTGACCGCCAGTGAAAGAAGTTGAGACAAAAGAGAATGTACAGTTTCATTGAAGAATGTCAAGAACAAACACTTCCACAACGAATTGCCAAGAAGAGAGTGAGAATAATGAAGTAAATAGGATATTTATCTGGTAAACAGTACATGCAGAACGAACAGTTAAACGAATTTAACTCCAGCAGAGCATATTCAGTCAGATTCGCTCATATTTCGATATCATAGACAATGCAGTTCAAATTGGTGACACTAATAGAAAATATTTCTGACGCAAAGGATTTCATCACAACCTGGAACTGCTAAGATAAACACTATGGTAACATTCAATCTCTCACCTCCTGGTGAAAATATGTTGGACTTTACAAACATTCATTACGTATAAAATGGAAGGTCAATTTAATTGAAGATAAAGAAATTGGTTCAGGTTCCAATAAAGCAAACCCACCACGATTTTGGATTGGTTTCGATGACGCTTTCTATGCAGTTGCTGGATATCAAATCCTTGCAAATGGTGTATCGTATATTCTCAAGACAACGCAAGAGAAGAAGCATATATAACTTCAAACTCACAAACTACCGACAAATAAAGAAAGTAGATGTTTTTCAAAGACTGACATGAAGATGTATGGAGTCATTCGGGAACATGCAGAACAGGACAAATTGTTAGTGGCCAATTACAGCAGGAAATCATTTGATTTTAAGCTTCGTTTAAGAATTCCTGTTAGAAGATTCCTTCCATTAGAAGCTATTCGATTTATTCCAGCTTTTGCAGGAAACATTCAGCTTAAAGTAAAGTTCAGTAGCGACGCCTTACAATGCACATCTATATCTGTAAATGTATATCATGGCTTTCAATCCAACTTTAAAGTTGTATTGTCTCAGATTCAAATCCACGACAAATAATTTGTTCCATGGAATGAACCATTCACTATGAATAACGAAGGCAGTAGAAGCTAGTGGAAACAGTTACTATTACACGTAACCAGCAACTATTTCGACAAAGATGGTTTTAATGAATGTTTCATTCATCCAAAGTCATTCTCTTTAGACCCTAACATTTATACGAACTTGTGAACATTTACTCAACGAGGCTTTATGTTTTCCTGTTAAAGTTATGGATTGGATTCCTATGGATGGTTCATTTCTCAAAGAATACAGATAGTTCAAGTGCAACATTTACAGCAGCTTATACGCCTATTAATGTAAAAGTGAGTCAGTTCGAGGTGCACTACTATTACTATTTAGGGAGAACCAGTAATATGCAACCGACCTTGTTATTAGCTCAGTGTTTCAGAGATGTCTGAATGAGATGAGACAGCGGGCGGTTCTAGCTAGCGCTGCACTCAGTCGTTGTATATATCGTGAGTTCCAGTACTTTGCCGTATTGAGGACGAGGTATAGCATATTCGCAGTACGCAGGATATATATTACTGTCCTTCAGCGTATCACAGTGGCAGAGTGCGATAGCAGTATATTTCATGGATGTTAGTGGTTACACGCGTTCGAGTATGAATTCTTTTAGTCTTCGTAGTCTATATCGCGGCTGGATTTGGGCTTTCTCTGTACTAGTCTACTTACATCCGCGCAGGCATCAGTATATGTCGAAGATCTTTACGTTAAGTCTGATACGCGAGACTTGGTGCTAGTCGTGATCACTCACGCGCTGTTGTGATAGTCGATGTATATGAGGGAGAAGATTGGGACCGTCTAGCTCGAGCTATTTGCGTGTTGGAAGAGTGATCGGTCAGACTCGCGTTGAAACTGCGAGGATGAGAGTCTCGATCATGCTAATCGTTGCTTGGCGCGTATCTTTGATCGATCGTTCAGTGTGCTACTGGTATATTACGCGAGAGTCGATGAGAGTGCACTTTTAGACTTCTGCAGTCAACCCGGTCAAACCACAGTCTACGCTTCCAATAAACATACGAAATGTCTGTTAAGCACTGCTATTGAAGTGGACGTGAGCTTGCATAAAGTAGACAATGCTTGATATTTATCTCTCGCGATATGTCCGTCACGTCGTTTATGTATGCGAGTAGCGCGACATAGATATTCTGGTGATTCATCAGTGAGGATTGTTGCTTCTGTGCAATACAAGTAGACAGTCAGCGCATACCAATAATAAGACTTGACGACTATAACTTAGCCACGGACGACAGTGAGGAATAAAGGATGAACGTTTATTTTTAAAGCTTATAAATGAGTTCTTCATCAAGCTCTCGTGAACCTTCACCATCTATGAAACAAACTTTACCAAACGATTATGGAGCACCTTATTGAATATTTTTTACGAGCTGCACAATGGCAAAGAGCAGTCTCACCAAGGTTAGGTGTTCCACCAGCTCCTGTCAAAAATAGCATTTGGTCAAGTCCTTATATAAAATATGGTCTCCCACTAGGTTTCTAGCTACAGCAGGAGCAGTAATGATGTTGAAAAGAAATAAAGCAAATGTTATAATAATACTGAAGTAGCTGAATTTGAACAAACTCCGACACCATCGCCAAAACCAACGTCAAAACCAACGCCTTCACAAACAACACCTTCAATGACTCCTGAACCTATGAAAGTACAAACTCCTGTTCAAAAGTCAACTCCAAAACCGACTCCAACATTTAAACCAGAACCTACTCCTCAAATAAATCGTAAAACTCCTGCGTTTCCTTACTGAAAAAATAAGTAGTTTTTATTTTATTGAAATTTTATTTAGAGTAAAATGACGACTAAGTCATGATGATTGAAAAAAAACAATAATTTTTGGTTATGTAGAATACATTAAATCAGGAGCGGTTCCAGAAGGTTTTTACGTTCATACTATGAAGGATGGTAGAGTTCAGTTTAGAAAGATAAAGCAACCATTAGATAGAGAAGGTATTTAAGGAAGATTAAACTTCATGAGGACAACATTGCTGAACTTAGAAGAAGTTAAGAGTTGGAGAAAGAAGAGAGTTATAAAGCAATGAATTCAATGAGGTGAAAAAGAGTGAAAAAAGAGGTGAGATTCACCACTTCACCTAAATTTATTTTTTGCGCTATGTTTTCATACGTGTGGGAGTGGTGATATCATTAATTTTAAGTTTATTTTTTTATATAATTTTATTTTTATTTTGGATGTAATGACGAAAACTATTGAGATAACAAACTACAACGGTCATGAGTTCAAGAATTTGTTCTTCGTTCCTCGTGAAAATACATTCTATCAGATACAGGGAGAAAGGGTAAAGTTAGTTTGAGCGTTTATGAAGGAATGAAGAATGGAAAGTTTATACAAGCATACGATAAAACGGTAAACGTGTTTCATTAGCTTTGTCAAAACTTACAGGTATAAATATGACAGTGATTTTGACTCTGACGATTGGAGCGACAGCAGCGATACTGAAGAATATGAACTATTGTGTGAAGCACAGCAATGGGAAGAGTTGCAATACTTTTGTAAATGAGAACGTTTATTTTTACAGTAGTGAAGTCGTTTGTGAAAACGTTAGTGAGGTGAATTGGTTGGCGGCTTTATAAATATTTAAGGTTAAGTTGGTGTTTGTGTTTGTGTTGTAAAATATACGTTAACGGTTTTGTAAAGTGTCAAATTCACATATAATGGGTAAGGAGGCGCGCAGTGCCTCCGTACACGACTTAGGGATACTAACTTTGTTTTGTATCAGCAAGGGGAGCAGGAACAGATTGATTCATTTAAAAAATGAAAAAAGTGAAAATTGTAAATAATTAAGGCTAAAATTGAATAAATAATACATCAAATGAATGTAAATTCAAAGGAGGAAGACTTAAACGGTACCAGTAAGATACAGCAGTAGTAGCTGCTTCATGCTGCGTTGAGTATTGTTGAATAATTTGAAGTAATGGTTTTTGAAATCAGCACCCCTATGAGAGCGCAGGCGACTAAAACACCACTGGTAAAATTCGGTATTAGAAACTGCTTCATGTTGTGTTGAGTAAGCTTCGATATCTTTATAACAGCACATTTGTGGTCCATCTAAAATATATAATTTTTTGACATAAAATTATATTTTATACAGAATCACACCTATTACTCAATCTTATTTTAAAAATCTTTTATAAAATTTATCGATTAATTTGAATTTTTTTATAAAAAAAGTTTATTATTTTTGTTAAAAATATATGCGTTTAATGATATTACCTTATATTTTATAAATATATCTAGCAATAAAATAACTTTAATAGTTACTGTCACTTTTTCGAAAATTCTGGTTTTTTCTGAGATAGCGTTTTTTGGAAGAAAAATTTGGAAAAAAGACGATAAAGAAAATATGGAAAGCCCCCGTGATAAATTTAATATAATGATGCACATCATACTGGGATTTATTCCTTATTCATCTAGTTATTATAAGATTTACAACCCCATGAAAATTTAAAATTTTGTCAAAAATAGTGAATGTACCTTTTTTCTAACACAACTATCAATAAATTGTAATATCATTATACTATATATTAATATGATTTTTTATAGAAAAGCTTTATTTTTTTCTCAATTTTTAATTTCATTTCAGTCTCTAAACTTTCTTACTATGTAAAAACGTATTATATAAGTAATAAAATAAAATACATGTTTATTCGATCGCGTATTTCAAAAAAAATAAAATTACTTATATAAAAAGATTCTCTTTAGTCAACTTTCTTTTTGAATCTCTAATAAGTTTTTACTGTTGCTTCTATATATTAAGTATTGATTCTTGTAGTAAAGAAAATCCGGAACGTTTATTTATTAGAATACTCGAACTTTGACTTACATATTACTAATTG